TGGCTGGAGGGAGGGGAGTTCTGGCACAAGCAGTGGGAGAGCTGCAACTCTTAGATTTTGGAACATGTAGTGAGGAAACTACAGTACAGGCAGTCCCCGGGTTACATGGATCCGACTTACATCGGATCCCTACTTACAAACGGGGTGAGGCAACCCCACACTAGCTGCTTCCCCCCAGCAGACTAGGGAGACGCGAAGCTAGTGCCCCCCCCCCAGCATACCAGGGAGTCATGGAGCGGCTTTTCTCAGCAGACACCTCAGCTTGAGAATAAAGGACTGAGGGAAGTGAGGTGTGGGAGAATAAAACTGAGCTCTGGAGAAATGTTTGGCTAGAGTTTCCCCTACAATATGTACCAGTTCCGACTTACATACAAATTCAACTTAAGAACAAACCTACAGTCCCTATCTTGTACGTAACCCGGCAACTGCCTGTATGCTTAGGTGAGTGCTTGGGCAAGGAGTACCTGGCATGGACATTTGGGTGGTGCTTCCATAGTGACAGGTGCAGATTCTCATTAGCTTCCTAGCTGAGCGCAGGGGTGGATAGCTGTTCAAGTACCATGCGAGGCTTGAGAGGCATAAGTCACTTGGGGCAAGTGGCCTTTGTGACCAACAGATGTGTTGTATGTAAAATATGAAAATCAGTTGTGATGGGCTGTACTGTCTTATTGGTTTCATTCTTGTGGCTAAAATGCCTGTTGTTATTCTGTAAGGTGGATGAATTATTCTTTTGGCTGCACCCTCTACAGTTTGGTGAAGAAGTTTAATAATGTAACTGATGTGCAGGATAACTAACCCTAGACCAAACAGGAAGACAAACATGAAAATTGTTGTTAGGGAAAAATATACTAGTACAAATTGGTGTGCTTTGTAGTCTTGCCAGGATGTCTTTACACTCATCTGCTGCTGAAGTTTATTGGATTTTAGGTCACATTAGCGTCTGTCCCTTCCTCCTCCCCCGAGTATAAAATCCTTTCCCATCACAATCTTCTCAGTTAATGTATAGCAAGTACACGCTAATTAAATAAAGAATTTCTAAACACAAATTTGTTGTGGTGACATGGTTTCATATAATATTTCCATAACTTTAGTTTTCTCCTAATTCTTCACATTTTTAGACTAACCAGAAAAAGTTATAGTACTCTGTGATTAAAGGTGACTCCAAGAGCTTAATACTGAAGTTTAAATGCATGGATCTGTACATCTGGAATTACAGATTGAATCTATTTACACAGTGGTCCCCACAGGGAGCACTGGCCCCGGGCATGCGGCACATGGGCAGCCCGCTCCCGGACGCATGGGGAGCACCGGCCCTGGGCGTGCAGCTATGGGGAGCGCCGTCCCCGGGTGCGTGGCGAATTAGCAGCCCCGCCCCCACGGCGCATGGGGTCGCTCTCCCCGGGCATGCGGTGCATATGCGGCTCCGTCCCTGGGTGCCCGGCAGCTCCAAAAGGTTGGGGACCACTGTATTTACATTTCATTGCCGTAGAGTTTAAGATCAGAAGGGACCATTATGATCATCTAGTCTGATCTCCTGCATATTGTAGACCACTGAATCTCACCCACTCCTGAAACAGACCCCTAAACTTTGGCTGAGTTACTGAAGTCCTCAACTCAGGGTTTAAAGATTTCAAGTTACAGAGAATGCACCATTTGTGTTAGTTTAAACCTGGAAGTGTCCCGTGCCCCATGCTCCAGAGGAAGGTAGGGATGTCAATATGTAGATCAGTGGTTCCCAACCACTGGTCTGTGGACTGGCGCCAGGCCACGAATTGTTGGTGGCCAGGCTGCAGAGGCTCTGTGGGCTGGGGTTAGGGTACACTGCCTCCTTTCCCACTGCTGTTATTGAGAGGGGAATGGCCTGCCCTGCCTCTCAGCCAACAAGTGCCAAGCAGAGGTGGGGTCTTCTCCTGGATGCTGAAAAGCAGTTCGTGGCACAGCTGCCTTAGAGTAGCCACAACCTGGGCAGTAGTGCTAAGCTGGCATCTGGGAGGCAGCACAGGGCTAGGTGGAGGTGGTGGGGGACTAGTGCTGGGGGGCTCTAGAGGCAGGGCTAATATTTGGGAGCTCTAAGGGGTGAGGGGCTCTAAAAAGAGGGGCTGTCACTGGGGGGTCACTTTGACATCTGGGGTGGGAAACTGGCACTTGAGGGCTCTGGGGTAGAGCTAGTGGGAGATTATGGGGGCAGGGCTGGCACTGGGGGGGCAGAGCTAATATTGGGGTCTGGGGTTTGGCAGTGGGAAGGACTGAGGGGTTGGGTGCAGTGGGGTGGCAAAGTTTTACCATTTTAGCTGACAGAATATGTTTTTACCTTTAATTACATTTAATTATGAGAAGTGTTATTTAGGTAAGTGGTTCCCAATTTTTTTATATCACAGACCGGCAAACCCATTCTCAAACTTTTGACCGACCGACAGCATTTTATTTACACATTTGAATATTCATTATGCAAATAATGAATACGCAAATATGCAAATAAAATGTTTCCATTCTGCAAAGGGGCCTCTGTGAACAGTTGGCTTCAGCTGCAGCAGCTGCCCGCCATGTGGCAACTGCTGGAGCTGAAGTTGTCTGTTTGCGGTAGCTCTGGGGGCCAGGGCTTTTGGCGACCCAGTAACATTTTATTTTCATATTTTCATATTAATTATATGCATAACAAATATACAAATAAAATGCTACCAGTCTGCCAAAAGTTTGTGAATGGATTTGCTGGTCTGCAGTATAAAAAGGTTGGGAACCCCGGTGTAGACAACTGCATAATTAAGCCTGGGCTTATTGGTTTATCTTCTCAACTACATGCATTCCTCCCCGCCGGCTGCCCCTGTATCGAAAGCAGCAAGGGGAGAAGCCAGTGCCCATGAGTAGCTGGCTTAAAAGCCGGCTCTCTATGATCTCTGGATCCACCTGTCCACTCCCACACTTGTGCTGCTGCCTCTGAAAAAGAGTCAGCAGTGCGGAAGGTGAGGTGGGTAGGCAGCAGCATGGGGAACTGGCTTTCAAGCACCATGTGTGCCTGCTCCATGGACTCACTGGCTCCACGGACCCATGGGCCCCTCCCTCCCAATGCCTCTGTATCAGAGGCAGCTGCGTGGGTGAAGGGAAGGCTGTTCCTTTATTAATCATAGAATCATAGAATAATAGGACTGGAAGGGACCTCGAGAGGTCATCGAGTCCAGCCCCCCGCCCTCAAGGCAGGACCAAGCTCTGTCTACACCATCCCTGACAGATGTCTATCTAACCTGTTCTTAAATATCTCCAGAGAGGGAGATTCCACCACCTCCCTTGGCAATTTATTCCAATATTTGACCACCCTGACAGTTAGGAATTTTTTCCTAATGTCCAATCTAAACCTCTCCTGCTGCACTTTAAGCCCATTACTCTTTGTCCTGTCCTCAGTAACCAAGAGGAACAAATTTTCTCCTTCTTCCTTGTGACACCCTTTTAGATATTTGAAAACCGCTATCATGTCCCCTCTTAATCTTCTTTTTTCCAAACTAAACAAGCCCAGTTCATGAAGCCTGGCTTCATAGGTCATGTTCTCTAGACCTTTAATCATTCTTGTCGCTCTTCTCTGTACCCTTTCCAATTTCTCCACATCTTTCTTGAAATGTGGCGCCCAGAACTGGACACAGTACTCCAGCTGAGGCCTAACTAGTGCAGAAGCAGCCCTTGTTCATGGGAGCAGCCTCTGTCCATGGGGACCTCGGACCCCCTGCGGACAGAGGCTGCTGCTGCCTCTGTATCAAAGGCAGCAGCATGGGGCCACAAGTGGGAGCTGATCTGCACGGGAAGCCAGTTTTTAAATTGGCTCCCCTTGCAGACTGGCAGCAGCACAGGATGGCAGAAGTCTCCCTGAATGTGGGTCCAGGAGCACACTGGCTGCTGACCTCGCCTCTAGGGACTATCGAATAATCGTGTAACAGATAGTGTCATGCAGTTACACGACTATTCAATTACATGCTATTTAACATACCTAGAGGAAGGTGAATCATCTTTGCCCCGGCCCTCACCCAGTCTAACCCTGAGTGGGGAAGTTCCTTCCTGACCTAAATATGGTGATCATTTAGACCCTGAGTATGTGGGCAAGATTCACCAGACAATCTTTCTTAAAATATAGCAGTACATCAGTGATGAAAAGCATCACTTCTGAAACACAGTCTTCCTGGAACCACAGTTTGAATCCTGCCATTGGTGACTCATTGTTTATTGTTTCTTTAATTGGCATCCCTTAAATGGAAAGGTGCTCTGTATTTGGTTTTCAGTGGAAATTGTGAAAAGTAAAGTCCGACTTATAAGGATAGGTGTCCGCCCAGTGTCTTGATTAGAATTGTCATGCACACAAATACCTCTGTTATGTGATATGCAGTTCATCTTCATTTCAGGCAGCTTAATAAAAGTAATAGTGTATGCTTTCTATACAGTTGTCATGTGTTTTGAAATCCTTTTGAAAGACATGCTGCATGTGTGTAAGATATTTTAAATACTTCTAGGAAACAATATAACATAGAACTGGGAACATACTTCACATAGGTGGAGTAATTTCTTCTAGAGTCGTATATGTAAATCCACTGCTTAATGGGAATCAGAAATGTACATTCAGAAGACTTTGTATTTGTAGCAATGAACACCAGATTCCTATAAGTAAAATGATTATTTATTTTCATATATTTAGCTTTACTGATATTTCCTTAAAAGACAATCTCATTGTGGGCAAAATTAGACATGAGTATTGCACAAAGATTGGGTTTCTCTTTCTCCATTTTAAATTGATCACATCATGTAGTATGTATACAAATGCACTTAACATATTTGTTTTATTTTAATTTTTTGCAGTTCTCTGGAATTGGAACAATGTTCTCTCAAAGTACTGGAGCCAGAAGGAAGCCCCAGTTGGAGTCTCTTGAGACTAATGGGTGAAAGAGGCTGTACTGTGATAGAACTGATAGAATTATTACAGGCCCTGGAACACACAGAAGCTCTTCAGTGCCTCAGTCCACCAGGTTAATTTTCATTTTTATATATAATGTATATTTTTTTCTGGAAATTTACCAGAGGGAGGATCCTATAGTTGATAAAAGAATTTATAATTAAAAGCTAGTAATTCTACACTTCCAATTTGGAAACTGAATAAATGTCCATAATCAATGTCTTTCCTCTTCCTACAGAAGTATTGAAGTGTAGTGTGTGCGTGTGAGCTTTTTATTATTTTTTTTAAAGTCTCAAAATATATAAAGTGTTAGGAACAGAAGATTCTTCGTTGAGTAGTGTCCTCGGGGGAGCTCCACTGAAGGTGTCAGGCTCGTCTCGGCACCGCAGCTTGGAAAGTTTTCTGTAGCAGTAGCCCCGCCAGACTGTGCATGCGCAGATGCTGCCTCGCACTGTTTGCACCCTTTCGCATAGCACGGTCCAGCCCCGCCAGTTCCTCCTAACCGTCCATGGCTCCAGACGGAATCCGGATGAGCTCCTCCTTCGTTCTGAGGAGAAACACAAAATGACTAAAAAGATATAAAGTGTTGTTATTCATTCCAGTTTAGCCCCTTCCCGGTAGTCATAGTTCTAGTTTATATCGTTCTCTTAAAAAAAAGAAGAAGTTCATGTATATAGGTATTTAGAGTTTCAACAGTTCAACGTTGCCAGTTTAAAAAAAACCCACCTTATTATTAAGAAAGACTGTGCCTGACAGACTCCTCCAGTGCCACCATGCCTGGTTCCCCCGGGTTCAAGAAGTACGCGACATGCCAAGACGCCTTGCCTGCGTCAGACGGCCATTTGCACTGTTTCAAGTGCCTTGAGGATGGTTGTATCTCCCAAAAGTGCACGCAGTGCTCCAAATTAACCGCCCGCACCAAGCGGGATAGAGAGATGCGGCTCAAAATGCTGCTTTTTAATAGAGCATTACAGCTGCTGACCACGGAGAAGCCAGCAGATGAGACTTCTGGGCTGCGTAAGTCCCATGAAAAGAGGAGTTCCGCTCCTTCCAGGAGTGTCAGTGCGGGCAATGCACCGGGCACCTTGGGTCTGCCACTGAGACATGCTACTGGCAGGACATGCAAGAACTGTAGCACATCAGCTCTGAGCCCCGCCATTCTGACTGACCCGGCACTGACGGTCTACGCGGTGCTGCAACCAGAATCGGCACCGGCGGAGACCGCCAGCCTCGGCATCGATACCTCCGGCACCGAAACGATCGGCACCGCATCAACAACCATCGGCGCCAACAGCACTGCATCAACAGCCGACAGCGCCACATCAACAACCATAGGAGCCGATGTCCTCGGCACCGACGCCAGCGCAGTTGCCGGCACCAGCGATAACGGCAGCACCGACATCGCCAACACCGACGCTGTTAAATCCATCTTGCTGTTGGGAGATGTCAGAACCAAGAGATTTTACCTCTGCACCGACTAGCCCTTTGGGCATGGCTCCACCTCCTTTGCGTGCCTCTTTGATACCTACCAAGGCACAACGAAAGTCTAGATACGTACGCACACTGACACTGAGCCCTGAGATAGCTGTCTTCTCTCCTGAACCTTTTCCTCCAGCTTCTTATCGTTCAGGAAGCCATCAAGAGTGGTATCTCAGATCTCCGCGTCAATCCCACTCACCATGGCTTTACTATCAATCCTACCGCTCCCGCTCACCTTTGCACTGTACAGTGCGATCAAGGTCACTCAGGTCTCCAACTCCTTCTCGGTACTCTCGTCACTATAGGAGTGCAAGTACCTATTCCCCAAGGTACTCCCATCACACATATCACTGTCACAGCCACCATTACACCTACTACCGGTGTGAATATCCACGCTTGCATAGCGCAGTTTACTCTTCCTGCAGATCGCCGAGGCGCAGACAATCACAGTCTCCGCAGCATCTGGCCCAGGACATCCCACCTCTTCGGCAGGCTCCTTCAACGCCCACAGGTGATGCGCCCTCGACCTCTAGTCAAGATGAGAGAGATGATAATCTGCCCTCCGACCGTGAGCAGCAGCACATGGACTACCCCACGGATCAGTCATCCTCTTTACTAGACAATGTAGTATTTCAGGGTGATTCTTCCCCTCCAGACGACTACAAACAGTTCCAGGAACTCTTTAAGAGAGTAACCCAGTCCCAGGAATAGCAGACCACGTCTCAAAGATCCAAGATAGCACTCCCCTTTGACTAGGTCATCCTGGAGATTGCCAGCGACATCTGGAAAATTCTAGCCTTTGCACTGCCCACGAACAAGTGGGCTGATAAGAAATATTTCTTATCGTCTAAGGATACGGAGTTCTTGTTTACGCACCCTCAGCCCAATTCCATCGTCATGGATGCCCCACAACAGAGAGAAAAGATAGCACAGGGTAGAAACGTGACCACTGATAAGGACGCGAAATGTTTGGATCTGTCGGGCAGAAATTTATTCCTCTGCCACGGCAACCCTCAGGATGGCAAATTACGCGGCTCTCCTCACTAATCATGATTTTGACAATTATACCAAGCTGGTCACTCTCCTGGAATACTTATCTGAGACCAAGAGGCAGATCTTGAGATCCTGGAATACTTACCTGAGGCTGTAGTGCAGGAGGGCTACAGAGCAGCCCGCACAGCACTAGAAATCACCCTTGATATTGCTGACACAGCCTCTAGGACCACAGCGACATTAGTGGTCATGCGCTGTGCCTCCTGGCTCCACCTGGCATTTGTCCCAAAGGACCTTCAATCAAAAGTGGAGGACTTACCTTTTGATCGTCAGCTGCTTTTCGCCCAAAATATCAATCAAGTCTTCCATTCTAGCAAAGACTCTTGCATGACACTGAGGACGCTCGGGACGTACACTCCACCATACAGACGCAAGAGATTTGGGCCCTACAACAAACAGAGACCATTCTCTTATGCCCGCCTCGCTTCAGGCCATACGATCAGCCTAGTCAGAGGCAACGACCACAGAAACGCCAATCACAGCCCAGCAAAGCTTCCAGCCAGCAGCACGCTCGGCAGCAGGTTTGACGTGTCGATTAAGGGACTGCGTGCCATCTCCCTTACAGAGGTGCCACATGTCATGGCCAGTTTATTCCATCACCAGTTGAGACCATACCACCTGCGCTGGTTTGCTATAACCACAGACCATTGGGTCTGAGATCCTCACGTCAGGCTTCACCATCCCTTTCTCTACTCGGCCCCCTCCCTCCCCTCCTTTCTGTCCCTCTACAGGGACCCCTCTCATGAACCTCTTCTGCACCAAGAGGTCTCGTGCCTACTTACCATTGGGGCAGTAGAGAGGGTACCAGATCAATTCAGAGTGAAAGGCTTCTAATCCTGGTACTTCCTCACCCAAAAGAAGTCTGGGGTCTGAGACCGCAGTTACCGTTACGAGAGGTATTTTCGAGACTCTTGGACTAATCAACGATCTTCCAAAATCTTCTCTGGGCCTGGCCCAGTCCATCGAATTCATTGGCGCCAGACTGGATTCTATGACCTCTGTGGCATACCTACCCACAGACAGAGTTCACTCCATCTGAGACCTATCGATCATCCTGCTTACTGCTCTGGCAGTTTCTTACCTTACCTGCCTGAAGTTGTTAGGCCTTATGGTGTCTACAACGTATGTCATCACACACGTTTGTCTTCTCATGCGGTGCCTGCAACATTGGCTTCTGGCAGTCTACAGACCCGGTATGACAAATATCCACAAGCTCACGTCTATTCCTGCCCGCGTCAAAGACTCGCTCACATGGTGGCTCGACCCTGCCAATACTCTCGCGGGTGTTCTTTTCTGCGCTCAAGCCCTGTCAATCCAGTTTACCACAGACGCGTCCCTTGTAGGCTGGGGAGCACATATGCGACAGCATCAGGTCCAAGGCTTGTGGTCCCACCAGGAATCCCTACTCCATATAAACTTCCTGGAGCTCAGGGAAGTTTTCAATGCTTGCTGCCACTTCGTCCACCAGATCCAGGGAACCACACTACATGTTCTCACGGACAACATATGCACTGTATACTACATCAATCGCCAATGCGGGCCCAGATCCAGAACTTTGTGTGGAATCAATACGCCTTTGGAACTGGGCGATTTGCCATGGCGTCACGCTCACAGCCTCCTATCTCCCCAGCAGGAACAATATCATTGCAGATGCACTCAGCAGATCCTTCCACTCCCAGCACGAATGGGAACTCCTCGACTGTGTAGCCCGCAATCTTTTTCAGCTATGGGGCTACTCAGAAGTGGACTTCTTTGCCACCCACAACAACAAGAAATGCCACTATTACTGCTCGAGAGCTGGCATAGGCAGCCGATTGAAGGGAGATGCCTTCCTGCTCAATTGGGGGACATACCGTCTCCTCGACGCCTTTCCCCAATTCCACTGATACCCAGAGTGATAAGAAAGATACTAGCCGATGCAGCAACAGTAATCCTGGTCGCTCCCTTCTGGCCTCGTCAGACCTGGCTGCTACAGCTTATGAAGATGTCGCTATCCCGACCTCAACGACTTCCACAGCTGCACAACTTGCTCTCGCAGCAACGCGGCAATCTTCTCCATCCAAACATCGCCCGTTTGCATCTAACAGCGTGGCTCCTAACTGGCTCTAAGGGCCAGAACTAACCTGCTCCCAAGCAGTCAGAGACGTGTTGGTACAAAGCAGGCATCAGACCACTCAGAGATCTTATCTCTACAAGTGGCGCCGCTTCCACGCCTGGTGCCATTCACAGGGCATTGACCCTCTCCAGGCGACTATCCAATACATCCTAGACTATACTCCATTTGCATTCGCAAGGCTTGGCGGTCTCATAGACTCATACTCATAGACTTTAAGGTCAGAAGGGACCATTATGATTATCTAGTCTGACCCCCTGCACAGCGCAGGCCACAGAATCTCGCCCACCCCTCTTAGAATAATCCTCTCACCTATGTCTCAGATATTGAAGCCTTCAAATACTTTGAAGGCCCCAACATGCAGAGAGTCCTTCAGCTGTGATCTGTGCCCAATGCTACAGAGGAAGGCGAAAAACCTCCAGGGCCTC